CTTCTCCGCGTGGACATGCCTGGGCTTGGCAAAGAAGACGTGAAGATCTCCGTGGAGCAGAACACTCTTACTATCAAAGGTGAAGGTGCCAAAGAAGGCGACGAGGAAGAGAGCGCTCGTCGCTATACCAGCAGGATTGACTTGCCGGATAAGGTTTATAAGGTAGATCAGATCAAAGCTGAGATGAAGAATGGTGTGTTGAAGGTTGTTTTGCCTAAAATGAAGGAGGAGGAGAGGAGAGACGTGATCAATGTCAGTGTTGAATAAAATATAATAGGTCATTTGGTATTTTTGCATAGGTTCTGTTTTCTCTTGTTTTCTGGAGGTGGTGATGGATGTGTTTACCTCTGTTACTTCAAATTTTCTCTATAATAAATGGTTGTAGAGTTATTATGAAGTAGCTTGTTGTTTACTGTTTTGCTATCTGATTTTGACTTAACCATGGAGTTTCTGCCATTCTTAATTTCGTGAAAATGGACCATTAAACTGTTAGGAAGAGTATTAGCAAGGACATTTAACTATTCAATTATGAGATTTGCCATTAAATCTTTGGTAATAGACAAAAATTGCTTATCCATCTTTTGTTTCTGTCAATCCTTTTGGTTAGTTTTGCCGAAGATACCATCATAGCCCCTACAAATCACTTTGCTACTGCACAGGGGATTAAGGTTTGGTACTCTGCCCTCTGTTTATTTGTTTATTAATGTGTATTTTTGTGAAAAAAACAAAATTTAGGATGACACAATCTGAACGAGTTTTTTACTTATGGAGGTTAAATTTTTCTAATACACAATCTCAAGTTTACTATGTAAAAAATATTGTATATTTTGAAATATTTCTTTCTTTTATTAATGACAACCATTATAAAGTGGAGGCAACAAGTTTTGAGGGCATCAAGCGGCAGTTTGCTAGAAATGGCTAGTTCGTTAATAGGATTTGGGTCCTTGGATAAGTGGAACCAGTGTGTTTGGAGCCTTTTAATTGAATTTTCCTACCAGTTTAGGTGCAATACTGTTGTTTTTCAAGTTTCTAGTTTTTGCTGTATTACTTTGTTAGTTTCTTTTCCACTTTGGGCTCCACTAATTATTTGATCTGTGGGTGGGTACGAGGGCTTCATAGTAGAAATCTAGGGCAACTCCATTTCTTTAGACATTAAATCATAGTTGAACCAACATTAATAAAATAGTGTAAATAGTTAAATATTAGGAAATATAATGTTATAATTTAATTATTCTAAATTGAGAACAACATATTTTATAAGACTTAAACATTCAAAATGCTTGTAAATATTAAATATATAAATATAGCTAAAATTTAACCATCCATGAATATACTCTAAAAACGATAAATATTTTGAAAGAAAAATACATATACTTAACATTCTTTGTTTTTAAGGAAACAAAAATAACACTAAAACACATTTTTCAAGAAGTTTATTACGATTTGATGTCAGTTTTTCCAAATTTTCTCACTAATGATATAACAATTTAGTTGGAGCTCTGATTTCATAGTTTAATGTACCGAACACTATACTGATGATCTAGTTTAATTCTGGCAAGAAATATCTAAAGAATATCTTATCATATATCAAACACAATAACAAAAATATAGTTTACCTATTCAACTTTAAAAAAGATTCACTTTATTTTTAAAAACTATGCAAAATTAAATTCTGCCTTGTTAGTGTAAAAATCTTATATTTTGTACAATGTCTCTAATATCCGAACGACTTGAGTTGCCAAAAGAGTTTTCATGGTCAACATTCAATTTTAATGAAAATCCAAATTGGTGGGAAACCACGAAGTTTGGTTGGTTGCGCTAAGACCAATTTCAAAGATCTGTGCGGTCAAGTTATTCAACAACCAAATTTCACTTTTAATGTTCCAAATATGACGTGGTTTGTCATTGTTCCTTGCTTCCATATATTACAGCAACAGATTGCAACGAATTTCTTACAACAAAAATCATTCTTTAAAATCTTGAACATTATTATACGTAATAACCTAAAAAAAGTCTTCAATACATATTCTTTTTCCAACTTTTCAAAACGGTTTTTTAAAGAAATAGAGTTTATATTCTAAACCAAACAATCCTTTAAATGTAATGATTGACCTTAAGATATCATAAATTTAAAATTAAAACAAGCATTAAATTATTGATCATGATTCGGCCTTATTGTCTCTCCTAATGTTTCTATCTTTCTAACCATTAAAAAAATAAATGATTTACATGTATTTTAGTAAATAATCACTAAAAAGACATGTGAATAAAACATTAATTTAATATATATACAAGAAATAAATACTACTTCAAATTCAATATCTCAAAAACAAGTTTATTTATAAGTTTTATTGAACTGTGCAATTTTCTCATTTTTGTTCTGTCAATGTAAATTCACGTTTTAATTACCAAAATTATACACAAAACAAAACAAGGTAATCCAACACATACCTCCTACGACTTTTATGTTATACATCAATTTGTTGTAATTTCGTCATTTATTTGTATGAATTTCCACACGTGTCATGTTATCATACCTAAACATAAATTAGCAAGTTTTTTCCATCGAACTCCCACCAAACATTAAGAAAACTTGCTCCAAATTTGTGAAAGGATAAGCTAAATAATGTAGCGTGTGTCACTAGAAAACTCTACACTTTATACGCTATGAACAAATAATTGGTACAGCCTTTTCCCATTAGACTTATCCTCCAAAATTTTATTTTCACAAAAACTTCAAAATACGAAACATCATTTCCCTTTTTGTTTTCACACTCAGATTTCCATATTCACATGAAAACAACGCAGAAACAAAGTGGGCTTACTAGGCCCATAAGGCTGTGAAAGCAAAAAAAAAACGAAAAATAAGCTCAACATGACACGTGGAGTAACACGTGGAACGCAGCGAGCATCGTCCGCTAGTTTCAACACGTCAAATGTCCACGTAGGACACCGAAATCGTGGGGCCCAATTTTTTCTGGAGCGGATATCCGCTTCACAAAAGGAATAATGCCAATCGGATATTCGAATATCCGATTTTTCTCTTCCTCGTTTCTTTTGATTTAAAGTAACACTTACGGCTTTCTTATGACCGTTTTGCCCTTGCAAGTGGCGTGCATTTTACAGTATGATGGCTGTTCTGTTTAGGGTGATTTTGACAAATTTACCCTTTCCAAAAAATATTTAAATGGTGGGGTAGTTTTTATTTTTTTTTTAATTTTTTTTCTAGTTTGAGGCAGCTTCCTAAAACCTTCGTGCACCTTCTTTAATGTTTCTTTCAACCATTTTCATCATTCTATTTCTTGACTATGACATTGTTTCAGTACATTTTAAAATATCTAACTATTCTTTTATTAATTTAAATTATTTTAAAATATTTGTATAATTTACTCTCTTTTTTTATTTTTCATTATGCATTTCAAATAAATCATTGAGTCTGAATTATTTGACCGGAAAGAACCCCAATCAAACATAGTGCAAAGGACGTGTTTGCGTACAACAGTATGTACAAAACAAAAGGATCTCTCTTCCGTGTCATCCATTTCACTAATTATCATTGTGAGATGATGAAATACTCGATAAATTTATATATTTTTTATTCGATTAAGTTCGTATTATTGTAAAAAAAATTATCGTGATTATTTATATTATTTGATATTTATGTATTGGGTGTCAAAATATAAATTTATCGAGTATTTAAATATGAGTTGTTTTTTATTTTGAAGAGGTCATTTGTGATAGAATAAATTGATCTAGATTTTGATGTATGATTATTTTAGATAATGTTAATTTCAATCTAACAAGACGAAACTATTATTAATTAAACAAATAAGAAAATGAGAAAGGAGGAGACGTAATTCTCTCTTTTAATATTCAAATTCAAGTAAATATTAAAAATAATGATTTAAACATATTCATGTGTTTATAAAATTTAATTCAATTTATACATTTTTATAACAATTCATATTGTTTACCAAATTTTATCTCTTAAAATGCATTTTAAATTAAATAATTATTAAATTCTTTTATCTATTAGAAGATATTTAAATAGAATAAATTTTTTATTTTTATTTAAAATATCTATTATTTATTTTTAATTATTATGTATTTCATCATCTCACAATGATAATACTTTATTACAAGGTAAAAGTAAATTTATACAAATTTCAATAAGTAATGGTAGTTTCAAAAAATTAAGTGAGGCATAACAAATATTGTTTTTAAGATACGTTAATCTTTTTCAAAACGCATTAATATTTTTTATAGTAATTAATATTTAATAGTAATTTAAAAATACACAGTTACTTACGTCATCATGTAGTCCTACAACGAAGCTTTTAAACATGATTGATATTCTATTTAAGGATTGATATTCTATTTAAGGAGAGTTCATAAACAATAGAACACTAATATCTATTAAAAGAATTTGAAAAAACATAAACTCTTGTAATTTGCCAATAGAATGTGAATTTTGTTTTAATAAATATCGACTTGTGTGAGCCACGTTCTCTGATTGATAAAATTTTGTAATTACTAATTAATATTTAAAAGTAACGGATAATAAATATTTTAATACTTATTTATAAAGTGTGGGATATAAATATTATATTTTTTATATTTATGGAATATTTATTATCTATAAAAAATAAATTAAAATTTAATATATATTTTATTAAGTTAAATTTAATTAATATTAAAATTAATTTATATTTTACTAAATTAAATTTAGTTAAATTTTAATTTTAACTTATATTTAACTTAATTTATACTGTTTTTTAATTTTATTTTAAAATTTTATAAAAATATTCTTTTTTTTTAAATATCCACAAATATTTACGGATCTTTGTAAGGTTTTAAGATACGTAGTCTTGACTACTAGTACCGAATAGAGGACATTTTGGGGAATTCCGGAGCGAGTGGTATTATGGTAATTGTGTGAAACGCATACCTTGGGGCTAAAATGGAGATTTCGTGAAATAAAATAAACATTAGCGTCCACCATAAGTAATCACACGATGTCTTGAGAAGAGAGAAGAAGAGAAATTTCTTTTTCCTTGGTTAAGTTTCAGAAACCGTCGACAAGTGCAGCAGACGCAAACTCTATTAGCGGTGGTGAACGTGAACACTTCAACTACACTCTGCTTCATAGGTACCTTTTCTCATTTTCCGCTTTTTCCCGACGAAGCAAATTTTCTTTCATTGCACTTTTTCAAGCTTGTGGTCTCTGCCAGCTCATTCTTCTTTTTAATTTATGGGGTCCGTTTAATTCTTTTTATGGTACGTTTTTGGTGTTGGATGATCAACGATTCGTTGCATGTTGAGTAACCGTGCAGAGGATAACAGTTGGGGTGTTTTATTTGTCTGAGTTGTTTGTTTGTGGTTTCATCTTCATGGAGGAAAGGAAATCTTTGGTGGGTTGTTTTGGATTTCGTTTCAGATTCTCATTGGATGCTGTCCATCAAAACTGCACCTGTCACTGTTATAAATTTTTGTACTTTTTAAAATTTTGAACTAATTTCATGGGTCAAATCAGAAGGAATCCTGTTTTTTTTTCTGACCTCACGTCTTGCTTTTGATGATTATGCTTTTTGAAAAATACCTTCTATTGAGAGAAGTTTTCCTGGAATTGGGTAAAGTATCGCATCTTGGAATTGTTTTTGCATACTGTGTGGAATTTTTATTTGGTTTGTTGGATGAAAAATCATGATTGAAATCACGATCTTGCTGTGCCACCGGCCAAATCTAATGTTCGGTGCAGGAAAGATAGCATAGTTATTAGTGTTGCTTATTTTTTCGTCTCTTTTTTTGCAGATATATTCTGCTAGGGGAAGCTCAACTTCTTCCTCTTTGTTGCAACTGTTGCTATAGTAAATGGGTTTGACACCAGAAGTGTTGGCTCGGAGAAGTGGTGGCAAGCTCGTTGGGGCTCGGGTTCTGCAGTACATAAATGGCGGCCCTCTTTCCTTCAAAACCTACCAACTAATCGTTCTGATTGTAACATTTTTGGCTTATACTAGCTACCATGCTACCAGAAAAACCACTAGTATTGTAAAGAGTGTTCTTGATCCACAATCAGCAGACACAGGCCTGACCTTCTTTTGGTTAAGGCCAACCAATGTCACTGAGTCAAATGGATTAAGGAGAGTTTCTTCCAAACTTGGAGAAGGTTGGGCACCGTTTAATGGATCAGATGGAACATCCCTTCTGGGTCAATTAGATGTTGCTTTTCTTGCTGTGTATGCTTTTGGGATGTATTTTTCTGGGCATTTTGGCGATCGGTGTAATTTGAGGATTTTTCTAACAGTTGGGATGGTAGGAACTGGGTTGTTTACTTCACTATTTGGATTAGGGTACTGGGGAAACATTCACAACTTTTACTATTTCTTAGTGGTTCAAATGATTGCTGGATTGTTTCAATCCACTGGATGGCCGTCTGTGGTTGCCGTGGTGGGTAACTGGTTTGGAAAGAGCAAGAGAGGGTTGATCATGGGAATTTGGAATGCTCACACTTCAGTTGGGAACATCATTGGTTCTTTGATTGGTTCTGCTATGTTGACCTATGGATGGGGTTGGTCCTTTGTTGTGCCAGGAATAATAACTGCTTTCATTGGTCTGGTGGTTTTCCTTATATTGCCCGTTACACCTGAGTCTGTGGGAGCTGATAGAGAAGAAGATGATGATATCAGTTTTCCAGTAAAAGGTGGAGAAGAAGCTGCAGAGCCTTTGCTAAGGCAAGAGACTCCAGTTGAGGAGAAAGAAGCAGTTGGGTTCTTAGAGGCATGGAAAATTCCTGGGGTTGCTCCCTTTGCTCTCTGTCTGTTTTTTGCCAAATTGGTTGCATATACGTTTCTCTATTGGCTCCCATTCTATGTCAGCCACACAGGTACTTAAACTTTCTACATATTTTTAATCTGTATGTTGTTTACCTTGTAAAATTGCAGCAAACACATGTGTAATGCATTTGCCTCAAAATCTTCAGTTCAGTGTTTCTCATTGATTTTCATTATGATGCAGCAATTGATGGGAAATATCTGTCTAGTGGAACATCAGGAACTCTATCAACTTTATTTGATGTTGGAGGAGTGCTGGGAGGAATTCTGGCTGGTCACATTTCTGATCGCTTAGATGCTAGAGCCATTACTGCAGCAAGTTTCATGTACTGTGCAATCCCTGCTCTCTTCTTCTATAGAAGCTACGGGCACATTTCGTTGCTTTTGAATGGAGCATTGATGTTCGTCACTGGCATGTTTGTGAACGGGCCTTATGCTCTTATAACCACTGCAGTTTCGGCTGACCTGGGAACACATAGGTCATTGAAGGGTAATTCACGAGCTCTTGCTACTGTGACAGCAATCATTGATGGAACCGGTTCTATAGGGGCTGCAGTTGGACCCCTGTTAACAGGTTACATTTCTGCAAAGAGTTGGAGTGCAGTTTTCACAATGTTGATGGGAGCAGCTTTAGTTGCAGGATTGCTTTTGACCAAGCTAGTAGTGGCAGAAGTAACCACAAAGATAGAAGAATCAAGGCCTAATAGAGCACCGGAATGTTCACTCATTGTATAAGAATAAACTATAAACAATAGGTTCACGGTAATGCTTTTTCTGTATGTGTAGTGTAGGAGTGTCTGTGAAGTCTCATTCAAAGCTTCACTGCATTAAATTAAAGAGGAACATGCCCAACAGTGTTTATATGGAGAGGGCATCTTCAGCTTTTATGCTTCTTAATATGGGTGGACAGGTTCAGATGTTGTCTGTCTGTACATTGTGTGAGATACCCAATCACCAAAAGTAGCATAGCATCTTCCCTAAACACAAGCCATTCAAGATTTGCTTGTCAAGAATGAAACTTGTCTAGTGAGTTTGCAAGTGATTTTTGTACATTTTTCAATGGCATCATGGGTTCACCAAATCGAACTGGCAAATCAAATATCTTGTAGAGATCAAGCTCAATGCTTTTTGTGGATTTTGAGGTTGCCCTTTGCTTGTTGTTGTGCTTCGAGCAAGGACTTTTCATTCAATATAAGATATCAGAAGACAAAGTCAACCCCTTGCCACTTTCAACAGAATCTGACCAACACCAAAAAGTTATTAAAACTTACATACGCAATTTTCACCTTTTTCAAAAAAGCACGGTTCAATGAGAGGATCAGATGCCGTAGCAAATAACAATGAACTCTGCTAGAACACTTCAGTTTGGTAGCTTCTTACTGTACAATTCTTTTATTTTTTTGTGAAAAATACTCTTTATAAGAGCTTGTTGCGTGTACTTGTCAAATAATGTTCAACCCAATGGATGAAAAACAATTATATCCTTTAGAGTATCTGTCTAGAAGCATTGTTTCTTCTTAACAGCTTGCAATTTCCCTCTCTATGGTCCAGTTGGTGTGAAATAAAGTGTTCCATTTCTATAGAAAAACAACTTGCAAAACAACAACCTATGTAGGATCAAAGGGCACAATCGGCATGCCAAGTTGATTGGGTTGTATTATCTGTCCACTCAGATTGTTTTTTCTTTCTCTAAATGTCTGATGTTATAAATTCAGAAATCAACTTAAGGTCCATAATTGACGTCGGCATTATTCATGATTCTAATGCATTGTTGTTTTATGGGGTGTGAAAACGAAGGAAAAAATCATCCACAAAAAGTCCATTTCCTTAACAAGCGTGTGACAAAACAAGAGGAAAACCTAGCTTTCAAAACTCTAGACTCATTGGTTAAGATGGTGGTCCACCAAGAGGGGTTTTTGTCATAAATTGGATGGATAATTTCTATCTACAATCTTCCTTTTTCTTTGGTTTGATGTATACGTACCTTCGCCAACTTTAATAAGCTAACTCAAAAATACTGTGTGAACCGTGTGTCGCAATATCCTGGGACAGAGAAATCTATTTCGTCACTTTGCTTTTAGTAAATGTAGTTTCAATCAACCAAGATTACCATTAATCTTTGATTGAACTAAACTTTTCTAAATGAAGTTCGTTTGACATGGTTACACTTTTTTTATGATGTCATTATGTACTTAAAACCTTAAGATAGTATATTAACGAGACTTTAACTTTTTATGGAACTTTTTTTTTTCAATTTTATTCAATTTACACTTAAAATTCTAATCAGATTCAATTTTATCTAATGTAATACTTAGATTGAGACTTGAAATTTTACCTATAATAAGACTCGATTTTATCTAATGTACAATTTAGACTAAGACTTGAAATTCTAACCATAATAAAAGACATAAAATATAACTTAAATCTATATAATTTTATTCAACTTTTTTATTTATTACTTAAAGATAGATATCAATCACACTTAATTCTTATAATGTTTTTCAATGATGAAGAATTGAGGTGTTGAAGTAAAAACTTTTTCCTTCTTTGATGCAGTTGAAATGTTTCGAGTTCATGACAATTTTAGAAGTTAAAATGTCAATTTTGTTCTGATTTGGGATATAGTTCTTTGAGTATATCTATGGTTGAATTGTAAATGAGGCAGACTAAATTGAATGATAGAGTTCGTAATTTATTTTTCATTTATGCTTATGAAAATTATTGAAGAAAGGATGTAGAAGAATGGGAAACGAAGATGACAGGGAGAGAGAGAGAGACACTTCATGGATGAATGTTATCCATGGCTAATGGTCTTTGTGAAACGATATAATTTCCTATAGGTAGCAATAATGCAAGCAAGAAATTGATAGCAGTGACAATAATGTTTCCTTATACTTTATATAAAGAAATATAGTAATGTTTCATTACTTCAACGTCAACCATTTAATAGATATAATTACATTTTAACTCATCATAACTTTAATATGATATTAAAGAATAAATTTTAAATTTAATTTCCTCTTACAAAATTTATAAACTGATATTTGAATTAATTGTAAATTGGTGATATGTATAACTAAGGTAATTTCCAATAAATTAAAATAAAGTTTCATCATGGATTGAAAATAAAAATATCAAAATTGGTTAAAATTAAGGAGCCAATTCAGCTCATCATAGGGAGTTGAATTAAATTAAAAAAAAGTTATAAATTTCAACACAAACAAAAAATAAATTTGGTCTAAAGAACTTAGTTCACAACATTCATCAAATTAAACTTGTTAAGAATCGGATAGACTCACCGCTAATTTATAAATTTTAAATATTAAATTATATTAAAAAAAATGAAAATCTTAAACACTCTTATACAGGTAATATATTTGAATTGTAGTGTACTTTTACGGTTTTATTTTAAATTAGCATAATTTTATATTATATTTAAATTTGAATTCTAATTAGATTTTAATTAAAAAAGTTTGTAATTTTTTAATTAAAAAGTAAATAAATTTATATTTGAGTGAATCATTTCGTTTAATTTATTAATTTTTGATGAACAGGATTATATTTAAAATTTTTAAATTATTAATAAGTGAGTTAAATTAAATTAATTCACTAAATGATGAATTCATAAGAGTTCAAATAAAAAAGTGATCCATTTTCAAGAAGAAAATTCTAACTTTAATTCACTTCCTTGTCATTTATTTACTTTTAAAAGCGAGTAGTGGGCTGACTCGGCATTGCTAACCAGTTGTTTCAAAAAATTTGATTGTGACTCAAAAATATTAATTAATCTGATACAACAATTTTGAACCGTGAATTTGATTGATATAAGTTTGTGGATGGTTAAAGATGAGAAATATTATATAATAAGGTCATAAAAATATGAACCACTATGGTAAAGTAGATTTACCAATAAGATAGTCCAACGTGATTTGGGACGCAGATTATCATCTCTCTAACCACTAATGTAAAGCTTAATGATATTATTAGTAATTATTTATTACTTTATTTTAAACCGGGCCACTGATAGTTACGTCATTTTGAAAGTAGCACGCAACTCTTAAGAAGAAAACAACTAATCCCACTGAATTCCACTGTCCTCTTATTTATACACGGAGAATGATAATAATATTTTTTTATAATATTTTAATATTATTTACGTGTTATTTTGTTATTTATTGATTAAAATTATTCTACAATCAATAATAATAATCATAAACACTAATATGGACTAATCACAGAATAATACGTGATATTAAAATGTTATCATAAAAATATTATCAAAGTATCATTATCTTTTATACATACATGTCTATCATATTTTACTTTTAAAATAATTAATTTTTCTTAGGTCCAATAATTCCACATTATTTAAGAGTTGAAATTAATAATATATTTAATTTTTTTATGTGTTTTTTTAAGAATAAAATTGTGATAAAGTTCAAAGTCTATCACATATATAGAACCAACTTGAAATATATTGGTGGGAGTTGGGAGTTGAAGGACTTGCGGTCCTAACTATTTAAATTTTGTGTATAATTAAAATTCATGAGAATGAGAATTTATAAGAGTTAAATTTAGTAAAAAAATTCTTTTTATAAAATATATCATTTAATACTTATAAACAGTTAAATATAAAAAATAAGTATTATAAAGAATAAAAATTCTAAATAAGATATTTTTTTTCTCTTTGTCTGTTGAGTTAATTGGTGTTTATGTTGATTTCTCTCTCTCACATGTGTTTTTTTCATTTCTAGAAAAATATCAAACACAAATTTATTAATTTTACTCACGTTTTTATTCTTAAAGGAAAAATATATATGATTCTCTCTTATATCACTTATAGTGAAATATTAATTTCATTGTATAATTTATTTTATCTCGTTAGTTTTTGTGTAGTGATTTTTTTAAGAATATAAAAAATTTGACTGTTGAATATATTTTTTTCATAACTAATTATTAGTTTTCATATATTTTTCTTTCAATAATTATGTTTATTAATATTTATTTTCCAAGTTCAAAATGAACTCAATGATATACACTCTTTGTAAACAAATTTTATCATTTGAATTTTAACGAGAACAAAAATATTAGTTTAAAATTTTAACTTTATTATTTTAATATTGATGTTTTTAACTATCCAAATTTAAAACATTTATCAACCAAGTCAATATTGGGCAAGAATATGAATGTCGAGCACATCTTATTTTATTAATTGCTTAATTTGTCTTATTTTAACTTTTTAATTTTATTTCTATGATCATGATAAAAAAATTAGTTTTTTTCGTTTTAGTTTTAATTAAAATATTAATAAATTCAACCATGTGAAGGAACAAATAATAAATAATCATTTGAATATGTATGATTTCTTTTATAGTTATAATTATAACTATATTAAAATACATGTTTATTTTTATTGTATTAGTAGTAATGAAATTTATAAATTTTGATTTATTACTTTGACTATGTCAAGATTATTAGTCACTCTTGAAATCAAAACATTCACGTATATACAGAGATGAAAGAATGGTTAAAAAAATCTTTAAATTATTTTTTTAAGAAGTGATAGATGTGAAAAAATTGAATATAGATTTTCTATTAGTTTTTTTTTTTGTGTTATCCTCCACTAAACATAAAAAATAAACGTATATTGTGGAAATTTTAATACATCCTAAAACATACAAATCAATGTTAATTAGTATATTTTGAAGGCATAATTGAAAGACGGCATAAAAAACCTCCAAATTAAAAAAAAAAAAAAGTAGTTTGAAGTTTGTAAAATAATACGAGGATAGGAGAAATATGGAAGTAAGACAATATGAGCAATTTGGGCCGGAGTTTTCTTCCTGCACCACCATATGTTTCTTCCGACACTCCTATATAATATTTTTCTCATTTTGTCCTTTTAGATTCTGTAATCTAAAAAAAATTGCAATTTTATCTATAAAGGTGTAGAAAGAAATATATGGAAGTGAATGAATAAGCTTCCATTCGGCCCTCTTGTTATCTTCTGGCCCTTCTGACATTTCAATATCATGCATCATTAAAAAAAAGAAAAATTTGGTAAAATAAGTTTTCATAATCCATATAATTAAGATTAAATAAATAGTTAAATATTTCTTTATTCTTTTAATTTTAAGTAAAAATTAGAATTAGTTTTATTTTTTAAAAAAATTTAAATCAATTTAGTCTTCATATCTAAAATTGTGTAAACTTAATTATTTTAACTAAATTGTTAAATTTATTTAATATTTCAAACACTTTTTTTCATTAAATATTAAACACTTTTTTCATTAAATATTAACATAGGTAAACGACTTAAATACTTTTATAACATATTTGAAATATTTAATAAATGTAATAAAATTTATTTAAAATAATTAAATTGATAATTTCTAAAATTACAAGACTAAATTGAATCAAAATTTTAAAAAATAAATTATTTATAAATTTGATTTTTATTAAAAATAAAAAATTAAAAGTATATTTAACGCTTAAATAACTCTTAATTAAATAAATCATGCTTAAAATTGCAAAGTACACCCAAGACGTACTTATATTTTGTACTTAGACGTGTGATTTGTTTGCATTCGTTAATACAAAAAATCTACTAATTAGCTTAGCACATAGAATTACAGAAAAAATAAGTTATGGATAAAAACATAAAAAGAACGTTGAATCCATAGCGAACGTGGAATTAAGAGAACAGAGAACATAACGCATCATACACCACACAAGCTTGGTCCCAATATCTGTTTCGACCAATAACCTTTCATTCTTCCATATCTTTTATCTTTACATTTATTTTTTCATTTCTATTTTTTCATTTTTCATTTTATTTTTTATTTTATTTTCTCTTCCTTTCTCCTTCTCAACCAAACTAACTTCCTCCTCACACAATTAATAACAAATAAAAGGAGGGAAAAAAGAAAGAGAAAAATCTAAGTGTGGTAGCATAGTTGTTTGCTTCCACACCAACGGTTTTCTGAGTGAAGTCTTTCCAGTGTTCAGCTGCAGCTGATTCACTGATCCGAAATTGCTAAGCTATTATCAGTGTTGGAGCAATCGTCATTCTCCAAGTTGTAATTTTTTCTCTGGTACTCCATTCACACAGATACCATGTACTGTTTTTTTTTTCTTATGTTTTTGCAGGTTTTGAATTTCCATTGATAATTGGTTGGGTTTCATTTAGATTCTTGCAGCTTTGTTTGCTAGAGGGCTGTATTGTTGTTTCCATGAAGTATTTTTGAGGGATTGGGGAAAGAACAATCCTTTTTTAACAGAAAACGTTGAGTAATTCGTGATTTTTATAGTAATAGTAATTAATATTAATTTTTTTTATTCTTTGATTTTATCAGGATTGAGAGAATTTGGGAAGCTTTTCTGAAAGTAATAGGAAGTAGTGACACGGTTTAGGATCATTGTTACAGTAGGAAAATATGATTTGATGGTAATCATACATAGTGGCCAGGAAGGGATATAATGGCTAGTGCTGCAGTTATTGGACTCAGTGGAGGAAAGAGGCTTTTGGGTTCATTATACCATTACTCTGATATTATAGAAAAGCTTTCTTATGGAAGTGATTTTGGATCCACACAGTATCAGATTGTTTCAACAAAATCTGTGATAGTTGCCAAGAAGTCATCCAACTACACTCCAACTTTTCCAGCATCGAACCGGCAGAATCAGTCCATCAAGGCTCTTAAGGAGCATGTTGATGATGCTGCTACCGTTGCGGAGCCATGGTTTCAGAGTTCCAGTTCTAATGACTTAGAAGTGGAAAGCTCTGAAATGGGTTATTCTGTGGAGGCTCTTCTTTTGCTGCAGAAGTCAATGCTGGAAAAGCAATGGAGCCTTTCCTTTGAAAGGGAAGTGCTGACAGAACGTTCTAGTAAAGGGAAAATCCGTAGGAAAGTGGCAGCGGTGACATGTTCTGGAGTGTCTGCAAGGCAAAGAAGAATGAATGCCAAGCGGAAGACTGTGGTTAAAGCCTGTGGTGCTGTGCCGCTGAAGTCCAAAATCAGTCCAGAGCGGCTTCAAAACCGTGTGAAGGGTTATGTGAAAGGAGTAGTGAGTGAGGAATTGCTCTCTCATGCAGAAGTGGTTAGCCTATCAGAGAAAATAAAAGTTGGGCTTTCCTTAGATGAGCAGAAATCCAGGTAATTGCATAATTGTTGATCTTATAATCAACAAAAGTGATGAAGAATCTCTTCTTTTTGCAGTCTGCCTGTTAGCTTCAATATTATATAGTTGTTACTTTGTTAGTGACCTTTTTGTGTTAAACAATGCAGCGTTTTTAAGATTATCTGGATTACTTGAATGGAAGTTTTGTTAATGAAGTTTTAAACCTTATTTTCAACCTTATTTAAATCATAACTAATCTTAAAGGGGAATTAGTAATTAATAGTGCAATAGGTAAAGATTATTCTAGTTTACCTGGCAAAAAGGTCTGCTTTTGTTCTTTTCCACTTGTTTTGTACGGGTATCATTTCAACAGCTTCATTTTCTTATTACAGCCCTGCTGTTTAAAACTCTTGGGTCAATGCCATAACCTTGGTTTTCTAGACAGGTTTATGTTTCATATAGTGCATATGATATGACTTTATTAAAAGTTGAACACAGAGAACTAATTTGAATTTCTTTTACCTTATTTAATTAATGAAATTTAAATATTTCCTTCCCATCCTCGCAGCTTTCAACAGCTTATAACTGGTGATAGAGGCAGAAATGTTTCTCTTAAGAATTGCCTTAAGATGTAGAACAGGTTATATAAATCATTAATCACGTATCCACTTCTTATAAATTCATAACATTATAATCTTTTGTAATGAAAACTTTTCATTCTTCATGGTACTTTTTATTTGATTTTACGTGTCTGCATAGAAATTCTGGCAATCATTTTTTGAATTGCCTTCCATTGGTTATGGTTTTACCTAAGAGAATGAAAGCTGACGGAAACCTTTTGAGTTTCAGATTGAAGGAGAGACTGGGATGTGAACCCTCTGACGATGAAATGGCAACTTCATTGAAGATGTCTCGTACTGAACTACGAGAAAAAATGCTAGAGTGCTCTCTGGCAAGAGAAAAGTTGGCTATGAGCAATGTTCGCTTAGTTATGTCTATTGCTCAAAAATATGAAAACGCTGGTACAGAAATGGGTGACCTTGTTCAGGTGATTATAAATATAGTTCCCTTTCACATCCGATTGGCCCAGCTTCTTTCTCTGTTGTAAAATACTCATCTTATTTGCTCTGTAGGGTGGCTTGATTGGACTACTTCGTGGTATTGAAAAGTTTGATTCTTCAAAAGGGTTTAAGATTTCAACCTACGTTTACTGGTGGATACGTCAGGTGAGGTTTTGCATTTTGCTTCTACACTTGCCTTCTATATATGGTTGATTGTCAGACATCCTTATCATTGTTGTTCTTTAAACAGAAGATGTCATGGGATTCATCTAATTTATTCATTTAAAATCAATAGAAAGAAGGACTGCATAGGATAAAATATTGTCATGAAATTTCTTAAAATAGTTTCTGTAAACTGGTATTATGGAACTTGTATTTTGTAGTCAGTATTAAATCTCTGGCTTGCACTCGTAATTTATGAATTTGGGTTGGACTAATCAGTTTCACCTGTTGGGAACTGCTATTGTTTTTGGTATAATTGATCAGCTTCACCTATTGTGTGTTATTGTCATTGCTGAAGCAATCAAGTCAAAATTTTAGGTGTGGTGAATGCATTTTCTGCGTCCCTTTCCATTTTCTTCAGAATCCTATATGATTGTACTGTTTACATCTCAAATTTGTCCAATCACCATGGATACTGTTTTCCTGCTGACAGGGTGTTTCAAGAGCCTTGATTGAGAATTCAAGAACATTAAGATTGCCTGCTCATTTGCATGAGAGATTATCTTTAATCCGCAATGCAAAGTTTAGACTAGAAGAGAGAGGCATCACTCCAACTATTGATGTAAGTCAGCCAAATGTATAAAAAGAAAGCCTGTATCAATTTTTTGAAAAGTTATAGACATTGGTAGACCAGCCTAAACTGTTTCCTTCTTTTGCAGAGGATTGCAAAACACCTTAACATGTCTCAAAAGAAAGTCAGAAATGCCACTGAGGTAACAAACCATCGAGAATTGCACGATCCTCATACTTGATACACGTAATGTCTCTGCACACTCTATTATCCATTTGTTCACCATGTGTCTACACTCTCTATTGCAGGCAATCAACAAAACTATCTCGCTTGATAGAGAAGCATTCCCCTCTTTGAATGGTCTACGAGGAGACACTCATCATAGTGTAAGATTTAATACCTTTCTATTCACTAGTCCATCAAGGAAGATCATAAGAGCTACTTTCTTCTTATTCTTTGCCTTCTGTTTTATTTTTCAAGAATACCAGTTGTCTCATTTGTGTTTTATGCTTTCCACTCCCAGTACATTGCAGATAATCGCGTTGAGAACATCCCGTGGAAGGGAGTAGATGAGTGGGCACTAAAGGTATTTAGGACAATATTTTAATAAAACTTTACTTAACTCCAAAGCATAGGCATTTCATTGTTGACATGCAGAAAACTGTTTTACTGTCTGTTATCCTGTAATGCCGTGTTTGCTGGTTTTCTTCTAAGTATATGATTAAATATGTTTGTAGTTCCTAAACTTAGACGCAAAATTGGATTTTGTTTTTGTTTCAAACTTTGATACATTTTATTCTTCAAACTTATAGAATGAATGAATATAATTCTTTTAACTAGCTTAAACACTAGCCTGAAATGTCATTTGACATGTAAAAAATTTAATGCAGTTGGAGTAGAAAAACTATATCTACTCATTTTTAATATTTGAGGATCAAATTGTATCAAAGTCTTAGACAATGATAAATTCTAAATTTGGGTTAAAGTTTAAGGATTAAAAACATGTTTCAGCCTTAAGGATATCTATGTTGATTTGAAGTCATTGGATGATTGACAAAATTTCCTCATAATTTTCACCATGGGAAATATGATGACATTCTAAATATTCAAATGCTATAAACCTCCATAATGATTAATACCAATTGTAAATGTTCACAGGATGAAGTGAATAAACTCATGAATGTGACCCTTAAGGAACGAGAGAGAGAAATTATTCGACTTTATTATGGACTGGGTAAAGAATGTCTTACATGGGAAGACATTAGTAAACGGTGAGTTCAACCACCATTTTCTTTTACTTCTTTTCTTAGATGGCCATACCATCCAAAGCTTTGCAAAAGTTATGAATCATATTTGATGTATCCCAGAGCTCAAGCTTTTGCATTACTCTTCTTGTGTTCTCACTGCAGGATGGGTTTATCGAGAGAAAGAGTAAGGCAAGTTGGACTTGTTGCATTGGAGAAACTAAAACATGCTGCAAGGAAGGGAGAATTGGAGGCAATGCTGTTGAAACATTGAATTTGAACTCATCACAGAAATTTGTTACAATGTATATATACAGAGCGGAAGTATGTACCTACAAATTTCACTTCCTCATTCAAAAAGAGTACAACGATATAAGGGAACATTGAAGATCTGTAAATCCCCTTTAAAATGGTTTTAGTACCAATGAATATGGGTAATTTTGGTTTTAACACTCCAAAAATATTGTTGTTTTATAATGTTATAAATTTCAGTGTATTTGTTGGAAGTCCCACATCGACTAGAGATAAGGCCAGATTAAAGTATATAAGTGGGTGCAGACCTCACCTTAAAAAGTGGACTTGAGGCCTAACTCATCCCCACAAAACCGGCTTGTAAGGTGAGGTCTGCACCCACTTATATACTTTAATCTGGCCTTATCTCTAGTCGATGTGGGACTTCCAACACTCCCCCTCACGCCGAGGTATATTAATCTCGAGCGTGAGATTAGACATTAATAGGTGGTCCAATAGTGGCCCGGCCCGATAATGGGTGGAAGGTTTAAAGAATAATTCTGATATTTTATTTCAAAGAGTAGAGTACCATATATATACATTATATATACATTTAAGGATCCTATAATCCTTCATCTATTACTGATATTTTATTTCAAAGAGTAGAGTACCATATATATACATTTAAGGATCCTATAATCCTTCATCTATTAAAGGAATGACAGGTGCACAAATCTGCACAAATTATAATAATATCTAAATTATAACTAACATAATATTTGATTGCCTAATATCCTTTAATAGAATATTTAGCATATCTTAACAGTATTTTCTCAAATGGTTATTATGTACACATGATATGTATTTAGAAATGTTGAATGAATAATTACTCTCACATCATACTTATAGAAACATATCACACCATTGTTAGATAAAGATAGAAATCGTTTAAAAAAACTAAAATAAATTTTAAAAGAATTAAAAATCGTGAACAAAGGTTAACCAAGTTAACTTTACTTTTTATAAAAAAAAAAACAAGATAAAACTGTAAACAAGGTTCTTTTTTTTAAATGTTGAGTTTAAGATTATTCAAAATGGTATTTTAAAGCTAAGGAATTTAAGTGAATGTAAATAGTCATTTGATGACATAATTATTATGCAAAATTTATTGTATGTGTTATATATTATCTTCACACACATATATATTTAAAAATATTAGGCGTGATGTCTGCATAAAGAGTCTTTTTTGTGTTTTAAAAATATGTACCATAAGTTTTAGATTTCGTGGTCTTTATTTTATACGGAGTTTTCCTTTTTCTTTTTGACCTATATAAAAAATAATGTATTTGAAAAAACTTACAAACGAAGCCATAGACTTTCAAAAATAAAAGTATTGTTTAGTCTAACTTCTTCGTATCTCTGTTCGTTTATGCCTCCCATTTTTATTCGTGGCTATTTTTTTCTAAGGATAATGATAATTCGATAACTTTTTTTTAAGAACATTTTAATATTGTTTACTTGTTATTTTGTGATTGGTATTTATAGTTATTATTATTGATTATAAAGTAATTTTAAATTAATCACGATAATGTTAAAATGTTATAAGAAAATATTGTCAAAGGATTATTTTTTTTTAATATTTTACATAACTTTTCACAAGCTTTCATCAAACTTTGAAAATGGGTATAATAGTAGTTAAATCAGGCTTGACTCGTTCCACTAGACCTGGTAAAGTAATTCAGTTCAAAGCTCAACTTAACTTTTCTTATATATATAATCAGATTATGATTAAATAATTCAAGTGATGAATAATTTAAAATAACTTCATTTATTAATAAATCCAAATTTAGTCAAGTTTGTTTATTTAGTTCATTAATTAAGTTGAAAGTAGTTAGCGAATTTGGGAACCCTAATTTTTTGGCAAGTCAATGTCCTTTTCACTTACTCTTTTCCGTCCAAAACTTAATACATAAAAAAAGTTTCTCACACAAACTCCAATCATAACTGAATAAATAAGGTGTACAGAATAATTAGTATTTTATTTAATAAGCCTTAAAAACATGTTAATTTGTATTTTATTGGGTTAAATATTCTTTTGATTCCTCAGTAAAAATTAGTTTCTCTTCAAAATTTTCATTCAATTTAATTCTTTAACTTTATAAATGTGTAAATATAATTATTTTAATCAGATTTTATTAAATTTATTTATATTTCAAATGTATTTAATAATAATATTTGAGTAATTTAAACTATTTGACACATTTTTTTCATGTTAATTGAAAACTTTATTTAAAATATTAAATAAACTTAATAAAATTGGGTTAAAATGATCATGCGATTTTAAAGATAAAAGAAAAAATAGTCAAATTTTTTGAAAGAAAACTAATTTCAATTTTTAAAATAAAAAATAGTCAAATTTTTTGAAAGAAAACTAATTTCAATTTTAATTTAAAGTTGAAGAAGTAAAAATATATATAATTCATAAATTAAACTTTATTTAGTAGTGTATTGAATACAATGGCTCGGATAAATAAAATATTATATATTGTATTAAATCATTATTTTTTTTCTTTTATTTTTAATATATTTTTTAGCAAATAATATATACTATATCTAACCCTTTTACTATCTATCAAACAAATGTATACACATAAATCTTTTAGTTGTTAGCCATACATTTTATAAAACTTTATCTAATAGATAAGAATATTATATATTGTATTAAACCATTACTGTTTTTTTTCTGTTATTTTTAATATTTTAATTTTTTTTTCAGCAGATAAAATATACTATATCTAACCATTTTACTATCTATCAAACAAATGTATAGACATAAATCTTTTAGTTGTTAGTCATTCATTTTATAAAAATTTATCTAATAGATAAGAATATTATATATTATATTAAAAAAAATATTTTATCTTCTTTTATATTTTGGATACTGAAAACGTATTTTATAAAAATAATAAATTTAAATAGATAAGATTCTCTCTAAAATGCTATAAACAAAATGAAATTAGAAAAAAACTCAATGACTTTGTCAAATTCATATATTTTGTCCAAATCTTTTAGTTATTGAATAATTTATTTTTATTAAATTCTATTTAATAGATGAGATTATTTATTATGCATTAACAATAAGATTTATATTTTTTATACTTTAAATAATAAATATATATCATCCAAAATTAACTATAAAATAAAGAGCATTGTGACTTTTTGAAATGTATATAACTTATAACGTAAATATTCTAAATATTGATGATTTATCTTATAAAAAAATATTCGATAGATAAGATTATTTTATCCTATCCATAAAAAAAAATGAGATTTTCTTTTCATTTTATACTTTACATACTGATTATATATTTGATTATAGATAAGATTTTATCTGTCATTTAAATAGAAGATAAAGATATTATTATATGTATTAATATTATATACTGTATTAAACCATTACTATTTTCTTTTTCTGATATTTTTAATATTTTTTTTCAGCAAATAATATAAACTATATCTAACCCTTTTATTATATATCAAACAACTGTATACACATAAATCTTTTAGTCGTTAGCCATTCATTTTATAAAACTTTATCTAATAGATAAGAATATTATATATTGTATTAAAAATATATTTTATCTTCTTTTATATTTTGGATACTGAAAACGTATTTAATAAAAGAATCAATTGAAATAGATAAGACTCTGTCCAAAATGCTATAAACAAAATGAAATTAGCAAAAAACTCAATGACTTTTGTCAAATTCATATATTTTGTCTAAATATTTTAGTTATTGAATGATTTATTTTTATTAAATTTAATTTAATAGATGAGATTATTTATTATGCAGTAACAATAAGATTTATATTTTTTATACTTTAAATAATAAATATATATCATGTAAATTTAACTATAAAATAAAGAACATTGTGACTTCTTCAAATGTATATAACTTATGTAAATGTTTTAAATATTGATGATTTATCTTATAACAAAATATTCGATAGATAAGATTATTTTATCCTATCCATTTTACGAGACTTTCTTTTCATTTTATACTTTACATGTTATATATTTGATTAAGATTTAATTTTCACAGATAAGATTTTATCTGTCATTTAAATAAAAGATAAAGATATTATTACATATATTGATATTATTTTACACTATAAATACTGTGATATTCTTCAACAAATGGCTCACTTTTTTTCAATCACCATACCACCTATTCAGTAATCTGGAGATTGCAGTCTCGCTGTGTTATAAGTTTGAAATCGATCACCTGTTCTTACAACTAATACCAAAGGTAATGTACAATTGTTTCATGTTATTTCATTGATTAAGTAGTTTTTTTTTTCTGACTACTATAACATTATTTTTTTCATTTTTATTTAAATATTTGTCGTTTGATCTCAGCTTTAAAAACAAAAACAACGTAATATGATTTTTTTTCTTTGGTGAAACGTATACTAATAATGAATGAATGGTTAAGTTTTTCATTAACATTGATTTGTTCATAAAATAGAAATGACATATAGTTAGTTTACTGATATTTGGATTAAATATGTTGTTGATCTTTTAATTTTCAAAAAAAATTTAAATTGATAATTTTTTAAAATTTTGATCAAATTTAATCTATTAACTTTATAAATGCGTGTATTTCGTTTTTTACCAAAATTTTGTTAAATTTATTTAAAGTTTTAAACACATTTGATAATAACAGTTGAATTATTTTTTTTTCAATTGAAAAAAATATTTGAAACTTCAAATAAATTTAACCAAATTTAATTAAAAAAATTAAATTTAGGCAATTATAAAGATAAAGAACTAAATTAATCTAAAATTTTGATTTTCATTAAAAATTAAGAATTAAAAATTAAGGGATTAAGAATAAATTAAAGAGAAAATCATAAATAAAGCATGAAAATACATTTTTTCAATAAAAATAGAAGATTAATATTTGATTAATTATTTATCAGGATACATCGGAAAGGAAATTGTTGGAATGTTTAGTCCGAATTCAATTATATATTTTAATAAAGTAATTTGTTGATATAACAGTAAATACGAGATAAATCAAGTTAAAATAATTAAAAAAGTGAATTTCATTTAATATTTATGTGCATATTTTTCAATTAAAAAATTTGACACAAGTCAATAAGATTTTATTTTGTCTCTTACAATCAAACCGATTTAAGACGAAAGAAGAAAGCCGCAAAATATCTTTTATCTTTGTTTAAGCTATTTTTTTGGGATGGGCCGAAACCACGGAAGTTGGGCCTGAACAGAAGTAACAGGCCCAATTGCAGGTGAAAGATAAAGGAAGTGAAAGGGAGGAGAAACGTTAGCTGAAACAAAGTAACCGGACACAAAAAAAACACAGACCCCAATCTGACATCTGTGTTTTTTTGTAAGTAAATTTGTATTCTATCGTATTGCTCCATCCTATATCTCATCCGAAATTCGCCGAGTCGAGTTCGACTCACCCACCCTAACTCGTTCTCTCTCCTCCTTCGCCTTTGGTTCTATCTGTGAGCTACCCACCCTGCCACTATTTTTCCTCCACCTTCACCCACCCTCATTCGCATCCTTTTCGGTAATCAATCGCTTTTTCTATTTCATTCTTCACTTGTTATTACTTCCTGCAATTGCTGCTTCTATCGATTGTCTATCATCCTTTCTCTTTCGCTGCAATTTCTTCTCGATCTTTCTTTCCCCAGCATTTTCCCTTTCCCCCTTTTACCTTTTGCATGTTCTTGTTCTTGTTCCTTTTATCCCCTTGCTCCTCACATCACAATACGACATAAACCTCAACTTTTGTGGGTGCTTCTTTCCTGGTCGAAATTTTAGATTAAGATTTTTACACGTGAGTGCGTGCCTATTCCGGATTTTTAGATACAACCCTCGTATTCTCAGCTGTTGTAGAGAATAATAATAATAGGCTTTGACGAGCTTGGTAATGAGTTCTTGGCTTTCTTTTGTTTCCGGCTGTCTACTCTGTGCTTTCATCTTTTCTTGGCTTTGAACTTTTGATTTTAAACTGGTTTGTATGTTTGTTTATTGGAATCTGATATAGGCCAGGGAAGTAGTTTGTTAGTGGCCTATTGATTCAACCTTTTTGTTGTTTTTGATGCAATCCTGAGCTGCTGTCCTTTTGTTTTGCTTTATGCGTATGCTGTTGTGGGTCTTTTTTTTTTAAAAAGAAATTTCTTTATGTTTGTGAGCGAGTGTCACTGATAGGGCATTGTTCTTGGTTCAATTGGGCGGCATATGCCAGTGCTACACTCTGAGGACGTAGCTCATCATGAATTTTTATCAATATTTTAATGTTGTTATTTTCATCAGTTTGAATGGGAAGTGCTGGGATAGGTTTTCGATTTTCTCTTTCAGATGACAACGGGATTTGAATAATTTTTTTGATCTATTTCTAATTGTATTATCATCATTTCTTGTATGGATTAGGTTGTTTTCCCTTTTATTCCAATTGAAACCCCTTGTCTGTATGGTTCTGTACAAATGATGTTTCCTTGGTGATGTCACTTTATGTTTGCTTTGGAAATTTAAAACTTGAAGTTTGATGATTAATTGAAACTTCATTTCTTTTATCCAGAATTTGTATCTGATGTATATGCCAACACTTTTTATAGTTGAATAATGGCTGTTGAGACTTCCGATAAACCAAATTTACCTCATGATTTTGACGATGATGATGATGCACCGATAATTTACAAAAGGATTTCAAGTAAGAAAAACCAAACACATTCAGAAGCAAGGAAGTCTAATTCTCACATTCACGATGGACAGTCATATAGACAGACTCCTAATGCACCTTCTTCGAATGGCCAGACATCTAGCTTGCAGAAAGGTAATACTGCCCCATCTCTTAAGCCATCAGCCATGAAGCCTTCTGTAGGTATCTCAAGAACTCCAAATTCTGTTGGCAACACTTCCTCTGTGAAGTTGTCTGTAGCAAATTCAAAATCACCTTCATTGGGAGATAAACAGAAAATGTCCGTTGATGTCAAGGTGGAACCAAAATCTACTGAGCACAGTGGTAAAGATTTCTGTGAAGATTCAGAAGATGACGAGGATGATAAACCGTTGAGTTTTAGGTTGAAGAATTCTAACCATGATAACAAAGTGACGTCTGTTGTCAAGAAATCTTATGAAGACTCTGATGATGATGATGATGTCCCTTTGGCAAAAAAGTTACCTCGTAATTTGAATTTGGGAACAACTAGCAATAACCACGAAGACTCTGATAAGAAGCCTATTTCTAAAATCCAGAAAGACCGACAAAATGGTTCTGGCATGAGTAATAAACAGGATAGGCCATCTCCTTTGCCAGCTAAAAGACCACTAGATAATAGTAATTCCTTGCAACCTTCTGTTAAGAAGCCTAAGGTCTCCGCTTCAGATGCATCTATCAAAACTAAGCTAGTCTCTGAGAAACGTGAGCTGAAGACAGAGGATGATGATGATGATGATCATATTCCTATTTCCCAGAGAATAAAGAAACAAGGCATGACAGGTGATAAATCATCTTCCACGAAGAAGGTGCTTCAAAAGGTTACTAAAGTTAACAAGTCTAGTTCAAAACCTTTCAAGAAACAGACCAAGAAGATAGTTAAAAAATCAGGCAGTGGTTCAGAATATTCCAAATCTAGCAAACTTCTTCCTAGCTCTGGTGATGGGCAGAAAAAGTGGACTACTTTGGTTCACAATGGTGTCATTTTCCCCCCTCCTTACCAGCAGCACGGGGTAAAGATGCTCTATAAGGGGAGACCAGTTGATTTGACTCCCGAGCAAGAGGAGGTAGGATTTTATCTCTAATGACTATGCTCTTCAGATTTTGGTTGACTGTTTGCTCTTGTTCCTTTCCTCTTTTGATGAATTGGGATTGGTTAATTACTTTATTCGCAAGTTTATTTTTAAATTCTCTTTTGATTTCTTTTCCAAATTATGAACTTTAAAATTATTTTTCAGGTTGCTACAATGTATGCAGTCATGCGAGATACGGAGTACATGCAGAAAGATAAGTTCAAGGATAATTTCTGGAATGACTGGCGAAAGTTGCTTGGAAGAAATCACGTAATACAGAACTTGAAAGACTGTGATTTCACTCCAATATATGACTGGTACCAAGGTGTGAAGGATAAGAAGAAGCAAATGACCACCGAAGTAAGTTTGTCATTTGTTACATTACACTTCACTTGACATTAGTAGAAGGTTACATATTTTAGCATTGTCTGTTTTTTAAACAGATTTTTTATTATTTCCAACGTGAGAAGGAGAAGAGTAAGCAAATGTCCCCTCATAATGCAGTTTTAATTTATTTTACAAAAGACTCACATTATATATATATGCCCTATTAAAGTGTGCCTGAAATGGAAAATTAAAATCACAAAGAGTTACAGCTCACATGGGGAAGTAGGCAGGAAGGACCACAGAAAATTCTCACTGTAGGAATAACAGAATATGCACATAGCAAAATGGCGGGGAAAGTGAGTTTTATTCAAAAGAAGACAGTGGACTGTGTGCAGCAGGGTAGATAGATATTTAGTGGAAAATTTAGGGATAATCGTGTCTGTATTTATTTTTTTCCCTTTATTGTATTCAGAAATTTGTTTTCTGTAAGAACTTCTTTGGGGGCTGACACTAGGAAAGAATGTTTTAGTGAAATGCAGAAATATTCCATGCCCTGTCGTTTTCCATACCCTGTTTGTTTGAATTTGAATGGTGCCAAGTTTTAACTGAGTTAGCCCGAGAGGTTTATTCTTGCCTTGTTTATTGTTTTTGTTTTGATTATTGACCCCCCCTTTCTCCTCTTTATACAGGAGAAGAAAATTTTGAAGGAAGAGAAAATGAAACAAGAGGAGAAATACATGTGGGCTATGGTAGATGGTGTTAAAGAGAAGGTTTAATTCTCTCTCTCTCTCTAATTTGTGTAGATTTTTATCTTAAAAATTTCGTACAAACTTTATGAATTGTAGTCGGGCAATTATATTTTTGTTGTGGGAGAATTATTGATGTTTCCTTCTCTTGTAGTTGTTCAGTTATTGTTATTGTGGTTGGATATTGACCTACATACTTTATGCTAGATTGGTTTGTGAAGTTATTAATGCAGACCAGAACATTGTCACTCACCATCATGTTGCCAATTTAATATAGACAAGTATACACCGACTTTGGGCCATGTGTATATCAGACCTTAGTGTTCAAATTTTGTGCATAAACAATGCTGTTAGGGGAATATAAAGTGACATTATTAATTACGCATGGTTTACTAAAGGTTCAACAGAATTTAATGATGTTGTAACTGAGTCACGTGATGATTTTTTTTTGTTTTTTAAATAAAATTTGAATTTGCAGGCATTAGTTGCACTTCGATAAACCTTAAAGGTTTAATTTGCACATGGTCTAAAGTCGAAGAACTTAATTTAAAATTATTCTAACTTTTCATGTAAATTTAATTTCCACTTCTGCCATTAATAGTGCACGTTTTTGCTGAATAATTGGCACTGTAAGGATACACTATCTTTCTTTCCATATAATTGTGTTTCTGTATGCTTCACAGTATTTGGAAAATGTTTTTAAGGGAGTTGCATGTGCTTGAAGCTCCTCTTTTTTCTCCTCTTTAATTTTGTGGCATTCTATTCTCAACCTTTTTTCTAATGTACTCTCTTTAGGAATGGTTTAACTGTTGACTAATTTTTATCTGATCTTTGTTTTTAGGTTGGGAATTTTAGAGTTGAACCACCAGGACTGTTCCGAGGCCGAGGAGAGCACCCCAAGGTTGTTATAATAGTTGTTACTGGAACAAGACAAGACTTATTTTTTTCTGATACAGTGGTTTTATATATATCGCAGGATTTTTACTGGCTTCTAAAGTTTATAATGTATACTTATTGACTGTAATTTATTTTACTAGATGGGAAAATTGAAAAGACGCATTCATCCAGGTGACATCACAATTAATATTGGAAAGGATGCCCCAATTCCTGAATGTCCTATTCCTGGTGAAAGGTATTACTCCAATTGTTTTACTAGAGAATAAATTTAAAAGAATATTGAATATGCTACCTAGTTGGAACCAGTTTTTCTAATCATTAGTTGTCTAACCTTGGCAGGTGGAAGGAGATAAGACATGATAATACAGTTACCTGGTTAGCCTATTGGAGTGATCCTATAAATCCAAAGTTATTCAAGTATGTGTTTCTGGCTGCTAGTAGTTCGTTGAAGGGGCAAAGTGACAAGGAAAAGTATGAGAAAGCTAGGATGTTAAAGGTGCTTTCATGCTGTGTTCACACCTAGTGAATTTCATATTTTCTGTTGGATGGTTTGGGATGACATTTTAAAGGACACGTCTGATTTTTTTAGTTATTGACTTCTTGGTGCAGGATTATATAGAGAACATTAGGTCTGCATACACAAAAGATTTTACCAATAAAGATATTACTAAGCTGCAAATTGCCGTTGCTACTTACCTTATTGATAAACTAGCTCTGAGGGCTGGCAATGAGAAGGTATTTTGTTGGTATATGCACTTATACACTCATTTTATGTAAGCCTTTGTTTGTAAATGCCAAGGAGGTATTCCTAGCCTCAACTACTCTTATCTGTGAAAGTTTCCTTTGAACTATATTAATATCTTATACTTTATAGAACAAACTTAGAGGTGAATAAATGTATACAGTATTTAAATTTGTTGTAATAACTTGTTCTTCTCATTCAGCTTCCATAGTGTGTTTGAATGTGTTCATAGTAGATGATTAGTTTTATTTTAGTTGTTAAATTTTGGTATTTCTTAATTGCATTTCTTCAGGATGACGATGAAGCTGATACTGTTGGTTGCTGCACATTAAAAGTAGAGAATGTGACAAGAGAACCTCCCAACAAACTCAAGGTTTTTGTGTTTCTAATTATTTTCACTTTACTCTATGTTATGGTTGATTAGTTTTAAGTCCTTCAGGGGTTTTTCTAAGTTTAGTAGTCCCTCTCAGATTGTTTTAATGGTAGCTTCCCTTGATAATTATATTTGTTAGTAACTTTGTTACCTCTGTTTTGTGCAGTTTAACTTCCTTGGTAAAGATTCTATCAAGTATGAAAATACAGTTGAGGTGGAGCTTCCTGTATATAATGCAATATTGAAGTTACAAAAAGGTGGGAAATTAACTATGATTTTTTTTTTTTGTTTTAAGCATGTGACTGTAGCACTTTAATTATTTTTTCCCTCTAATATTCAGATAAACGTCCTGGTGATGATCTTTTTGATAAGTTGGATACAAGTAAATTAAATGCTCATCTGAAGGAACTCATGCCTGGTCTAACAGCAAAAGTCTTCCGTACATTCAATGCATCAATCACATTGGATAATATGGTACAAGTTGATTTGAAAATTCCCAATATTCACATTCCTTGTAGATAAAATAAAGAAAAAGGAAAAATGCTAATTCCCTTTATCTGTTTTATACCGCTAGTATATAATCTCAGCCTCAGTATACGTTGTTATTTGATTGGAATTTTTTAATGTGGGACCTCCCACCTCCATATAAAATAGCTAAGATAGCATGTCTTATTAGAGAGCAATATACCAAAGCCTCTTATTTTCTACGCCTTCAGATTTTTCTGTGTTCAGGATTTTATAAAAACTTTTCTATACATTTTGTATGCAATATAATGACTCTGCACAATTACAAAATTGCACGCCATTATAAAATTGTGCTTCTCTTCGAATTGTATCCTTTAAATGTCTTAAAAAATCTCATGCTATCAATATATACCCTAAAGTCAAACATGCTTATTGGATTATGTATGTACTATGATTTCCTTTATTGGATATATTATAGACTTACATACTTGATTTTTATGGAATTATCTGATGACAGTTAAATCAAGAAACTAAAGATGGAGATGTTGGGGAGAAAATTGTTGTTTATCAGCATGCAAATAAACAGGTGAATTGGCTAAAGCATGTTGCTTAGTTATACCTATGATATTGCATGTTAGTATTTTTATTTTCCACATTTAAGTTGTAATGACTTGTGTCTTTCATAACAGGTTGCTATCATTTGCAATCATCAACGTAGTGTTTCAAAGTCTCATGATGCACAAATGTCAAAGTTAACTGAAAAAATTGATGAACTTCAGGTATTTATAATAATATCTGAAAATTGTTAATATGGGACTGCATTGGTCTGGGTGTCCCATTAACACAGTTATATGTGGCTTATCTTTACCTGCAGGCTGTTCTGAAGGAGCTGAAAACGGATTTAGACAGGGCAAGGAAAGGAAAACCCCCTTTAAAGAGTTCAGATGGAAAGACAAAAAAGAACTTGACTCCTGAAGTGTAATTTAGCTTTTCGTAACATCTTTAATCATTGATTGTTTAAACATGATTTATGATTTTGGTTTACATAATCTTCAGGTTAGAGAAAAAGATGTCTCAAACCAATGCAAAAATTGAGAAGATGCAACGTGATATGAAGACCAAAGAAGATTTAAAAACTGTGGCATTAGGCACATCCAAGATAAACTACCTTGACCCTAGGATTACAGTTGCCTGGTGCAAGCGGCATGAGGTTCCTATTGAAAAGGTGCTGTGGCTTCTTCCTTGTTTAGATTATGTTATTAATATTTGTTGCGTTATCAATTTCTAGAAGCAGGGTTGATATGGTAGGAACATGTTCAGTCCCAATTAATTTTTTTAAGTTTATTTAAATAATTACAAAATTTATTTTTTGGCACCCTTCAAATATTTTAAAGGGTTTTACTTGATCCATATAATGTTTTTCTTTTCTTATATACTATTCTTGTACTCACACAACAATTATGTAGTATTTTGTTCAGAAGAAAATTTAGTTACATATTATGCATATGGAAATACTAAATGTTCTTACTTTAATGCATGTGGAAGTTTACATTTTCTTTATGGTCATTTGTGGTCAAAACTGACAGGATCTTGTGCTTGATTGCTATGTGTATGCCTTCCTCACTCATTTGTTTTAATCTTCAAGTTACTTGCCTGAATGTTACAGATTTTTAACAAATCTCTGCTGGCGAAATTCTGTTGGGCAATGGATGTGGATCCTGACTTCAGATTCTGAGAAACTATAGAATGGAGCTATGTTGTGATGCTGGGGAAAAAACAGTTCTTTTTCACTTATTTATTTTCTATAAAAATGATTTTTTTCTATTTTGTCAATTTTAACGGAAATTGATGCTGTAAGTCCATCTAATCTAATTATGGGGTGAGTTTCCCCTTTTCTTCTTCATTGACCAGTTTTATACTTAAACTCTTAACCATTCATAGTCATGATTTTAATGTGATACCCATTCCCAAACCTGCAAAATGAGGTTTAATTTCCTTCTTTATTTAATTTAGTAGTCTGTGATTGGTACTTGTTTCTATCTTGGTGCAAATTTCTCTTCTATTTTTTAGAAGGGATCATTCATGGGATATAAAATTTGTTAATCAAATCGATCTAAAGTAAAAGACATCATTTATTGAATGTCTTGTTACCATAATTTTGATAAAGTTATAACTTATGAACTTTGAAAATCTAAAAAGCAACATTTCGTATTCGTTTTTTTCCTAATTAAACCAAAATCGGAACACATTTTTCAGTTGAGAATAAAATTGTAATATTATGTTTTTAGCTCCACTTATTTTGGCCTTCTTAAATTGTGAGTGAATAAAACAATGGCATTGAATAATATTATGAAATTGAAGACCCAAATTCCGGTTAGTTTATCGTTACTCATTCTCATACATTGGAACATAGTTCCCTCATGCAAATTTTTTGTCTTTGCTTTTAGTAAGGAATTTAAGCATTAAACTAAGAGTTCTATATTACATAAAGTTAAGAGGGAGAAAATATATGAAAAATTTATAAAATTATTAGTTCAACTTTTTAAGTTAGAAATATTTTATATAGATTGACTAATAACTCATTATACTATCTATACGTAATAAAACTCTATTTTTTCTATTTTTGTTTTAAGGGATAAATTCCTTGGAAAAATAAGTCACTTTATGTCATTCAAAATTAATATAAACCAAAAAACTACAAGAGTTTAGGTAAATTTTAAAAACACAATGCTAAAAGTAAATCACTGAACGAAAAAACGTAAAATAGTTATGTTATTATACTAAAAAATAAATGTATTACTTAATAAAATTATGTAAAAAATTGAATTACCTTAATTCAAATTATTTTTTCATCAACTATAATAATTTTTTCTGTAGGAACTAAAAAATAAATGGAATGATATTTAAAGGGATAAATACGTATCCAAACTTTTCTCAAGAAAATTACAGCACTAATTTAATTTAATCTAATTAAAATCAAATAGTCCATGGAAACCAAAACCTTTCTTGACTACTACTAATTAACCATAAATGAACATTGAAAAAAATTTAACGCTAATCAGTTTCGCTGCTAAATTAAAAGCAACATTGAAGAAGAAAAAGAGTAACAGTCCAATTTCAGTCCTTTAACTTTTCTCCGATTGCTCTGTTCGTTTGTAGTTTACCGTGTACTCATTCTCATACATGGAAACGTGGTACATTGTCTCTGTTCTGTGTTTTTTCCTTTGGCTGATTCTCAAATCCATATGCAAAGTTCTCTTTCCTCCACTCCCTCCGGGACCTTCCAAATGCAACTTTGCATTGCTACGAGGATACTTCACTGACCCCAAAACCATTCTTCAAAAACTCGTTGCAAAATATGGTCCAATCTTCTCTGTTCATGTCGGTTATTCTCACACTGATATTTTCATCGCAAGTCGTTTCCTTGCACACCAAGCTTTGATCCAACATGGCACCATCTTCGCTGATCGCCCTAAGGCTAACCCCACCAACAAGGTTATAAGTAGCAACCAACATGACATTCTTTTCAGCTTCTATGGCCCCACATGGCGCCTCCTTAGGCGTAACCTCACTTCAAGAATCCTTCACCCCTTGCAGGTTAAGTTTTATGCACACGCACGCAAATGGGTCCTAGCGATGATCCTACAAGGCCTCATATCTGATTCTGAGGGTAACAGTCCCGTAAGGGTCATTGACCACTTTCAATATGGCATGTTTTCTTTGATGGTTTTGATGTGCTTTGGTGACAAACTCGATGAGAAGCAAATAAGGGAAATTGAGGACAGTCAACGTGACATGCTTGTGAGTTATGCTAGATACAGTATCTTGAACTTTTGGCCAACAGTTACTAGGATTTTGTTCTGGAAGAGGTGGAAGGAGTTCTTGCAGAAGCGGAGAGATCAAGATGCTGTGTTGATTCCTCACATCAATGCTCGAAGGAAGGCCAAGGAAGAGAGAGTGAGGAATGTCTCAAGTCAGTTGAGTGATTCTGCATTGTCATATGTGGACAGTTTGTTGGATTTGCAAATGTTGGAGTATGAGGAGGGGGTATATCTTGATGATGGTAAAATTTGCACCTTATGTTCGGAGTTTCTGAATGCTGGATCAGATACAACTTCAACTGCATTGGAGTGGATCATGGCAAATCTGGTGAAATGCCCCAAAATCCAAGAAAGTGTAGTGGGGGAAATTAGAAGGGTGATGGTTGGTAGAGAGGATAGGGAAGTGAAGGAGGAGGATTTGCACAAATTGCCTTATCTCAAGGCTGTGATTTTGGAGGGGTTGAGGCGTCACCCTCCGTTACACTTTGTGGCTCCTCACAGGGTAACTAAAGATGTTGTTTTAAATGGTTATTTGGTGCCTACCTATGCCTCAGTGAATTTCTTGGTGGCAGAGATAGGAAGGGACCCTACAGCTTGGGATGAGCCCATGGCCTTTAAGCCAGAGAGGTTCATGAACATTGGGGACCAGAATGGAGGCACAACTTTTGACATAATGGGAAGTAAAGAGATAAAGATGATGCCGTTTGGGGCAGGAAGGAGAATGTGTCCTGGCTATGCTTTGGCAATGTTGCACTTGGAGTACTTTGTGGCCAATTTTCTTTGGAATTTTGAGTGGAAGGTTGTGGATGGAGAGCATGTTGATCTTTCAGAGGAGCTGCAATTCACAACAGTAATGAAGAATCCTTTGAAGGTTCATATATTACCCAGGCAATAGTTATGTTAAATCATTGGTGACATTTTGCTCTAAACAAAATTCCACTTCTGTATGACTATATTTCCAAACATTTCATGCATTGATGTGATTTTCTTTGTTTGTTGCTATTAACATCCATGTAACCAGAAGTTACTGTCCCCTTTCCTATTACTTTATTAGAAAAATGATATTCAGCGAGAATTAAATTAACTAATTGGAAAAGCAAAGAATGGGACAGGAGTTAGGAACAACATTAAACTTATGCTCAGATAAAAAACTGAAAGTTTGAAATGTGGTGTCTTTGATCTGGGCATGAGTTTCTCGTCTCTACCTGTTGAATGAGAGTTTTCAGTTTTTCAAACACAGCTACTACAGAAAGAATGTAAGAAACGTGTGACAAATAAGCTAAATAAAATAGCAAAATAATGGTAATAAAAGTTTAAATTGAAATATAAACTATGAATAATATGAATGTTGAAACAATTGCAGCACTTGTTCAGTCTTAGTTGTTTTCCATTTACTTTCTAAAGTACATAAATTGACTGTTAAATCAAATATCAGTTTGAACATTGTTGATATTTGCCCCTGAGCTACGAGATCCATTCGGATCAAGCAGAGTGGAGTTGCTTCCACACATTAGGGATTACGAATGGGCTAAAGAATATTGCAGGAGATATAAATTTACTGTTTTGGTGAGCTTCAAAGGATGCATTTGATATATGAAAATGATCAAGCAACATTACACTTCAAGATGATACAAGGCCTCTTTACTTCCTGGATTACAATTAGTTTCTGGAGCAGTAGCTGCATCTCTCTCTAAATGTTGAATAAAATCCATTACCAAAGGATCAGTCCAAGGGGCTCCCAGTGGAGCTTCATCACCAGCAACCCACCTAGATGGCCACCTTGGGTGTCACTACTAACAAGCAGTTTGGATTTTCCTGACATGATAAACAGTATTATAGTTAAAAAAAAAAAAAAAAAAACGAGTTTGTTCAATAGCCACCAGAGGGAAGAAAAGATTAGCACAAACTAGAGAGGGTTTAATATATACAAAGTTACATTACCTTGATATCTTCACGAGGAATTCCCATATTAGGAGCAATCGGATCATTAGCCGCCTGAAAAAAGTAAGAAGATTCTTCTGAGTTCAAACTTTATTTATTTATTCATAACAGAATGTGCGAAAAACTAGGCACTCTCAATTCTAAGATTATCGGGGCTAGTGCCACTTCGGTTAAAAGCTCAATATCTTGATTTATAAAAATAAAAGTCAGTCTAGATTGAAGATTCATTTCACTATTCCCAAATACTTTATTCTTCCTTTGTAATATAAGGAGAGCATTGTGTCACTTCGAAAGACAGAGTATAACAAGATCAATAATTAGAGTTCAAAAAGCATAAATGACAAAAATATTAATAAAAAAGGCAGGAAGTAGGTTTTCATTTCAATTTTACACTAAATACAAGAAGAAACATAGATAAAACTATTTTGGGTCAACAACAAATTTTACCTGAATGCAAAGCAAAGGGGTTTTGACATGTTTTATGGAATCTGAACTGCTTGAATTAGAGTAGTATTCATCCACAGACTTGAATCCAAAAGAAACTGCGAAGCCTCATAGATGAATATCTGAGCGGACATAATTCACAAGTGTGATCTATCTATCTATCAAGCTTCCATTAAGTAGGAGCACATACCACGGGTCAGTCCATCATCAAATTCCCTAACAGACTTGGCAATGGCTGCCCATGGAATGTTATATTCACCACCATGTCTTCAAAATGTTTAGTGGAAATTAAAGCATGTCTGGAGGACTCAAAGAAAAAAACAACAAGACATTAGTGATACCATCATAGCCAGCAAAATGGATCCATTTATAGTAGCTAGAAGAATAATCACAATAACATAAATTTGTATCACTTCTTGAAAATCTTGCAAAGAGCCTTTGAAAGGGCCTTGTCATAAATATTGTTAAAGCCCTTTCGGAAGTCCTCATCCGCCACAACTAAATTGAAAGGATTACACAATGATACAGCGCCAGAAAGAGGACAATTGTGAGACTCCTGAAATTAGCAAATGAAAAATATAAATAACACAGCAGAAAGAAACAGTATTCAATGGATAAAGCCAAAGACAATCCACCTAATATCACTTCTAATTGTTCACATTGTGGGAGTAAAGTGTAATTTCAATCTCCATTTCCC